CAGTGTTTGATATTGTAACACTCTGTATGTTATTTTCCCTGCATCGACACTCTCCCTGTGGGAAATGTTTTACGTAAGCAATGTTGGCTTCCCAGCATAAACTTGAAAAGTAAGATATTGGCAACCGTAGATGCACTCAGGGTTTCCAAACAGCCTACTTTATCACCTTTGATGGCAAATTTTGGTTAAAATACGATACCACCAAAGAATCGTTGAGAAGGTTCAAGGATCGATCTTGAAGGAAATTATTATGAAACCATATGAAGAACCTTTGAAACAAAGATGGAATTCATTCAAGACGAGTGTTCAATCGTGTGTGTTACGATAAGAGGGAGACTTTATCTGTCTTCGAGTTCCTAATAGTGAAACTAATTATAGAGCCATTTTATAAAGTGATAATGGGTGCAATTATAGAACTATTGTAAATAATGTGTTATAAATTTATTTGGGTATATATGTCGATTCGTCTACATGTAGTACATGAAGCCACAGCAACGCGTTGTCGGGTCAGCTGATACATTTGTGTTTAAGGATGATGTTCAATGCAAAGAATAAGTAGCAAATTGTATCTTCCAAGATATGTGTGTGATTCTTTTAAAAAAAAACTCTAAAAAATTAAAATTATAAGTAAAGTTAGTAATTATATAAATTGAAGCTCAGCAGCTCTGTGGTGGCGTATCGCGCTTCCACATCACAGGTCCGGGGTAAAAATCATGCACTGACCAAGGTCGACTCAGCCTTTCATCCCTTCGGTGGGTCGATAAACGAGTACCAAGTTTGCTTGGGAACTAAACACTTGGGGTTTCGTGTCAGATTGACCACCTGAACAGAAATCTGCTTATGCACGTTAGCGCCCAAGTTTGAGTAAACTGATACGGGCACAGAAGGCCTTGGTCCTCATGGACAGTTAAGGTATCCGACTACGTTCGGAACCGTGATTTTGCAAAAGCGCATAAATGGATAATTTTCATGATATTTAGTATCACTTAGATTAGAATACATGTATAAAATTGTTTTAAGGACATTTTGACAAAAAAAAAAGTTATTTAAATACAATATTTTGGCAAAAAATTAACTTAGAATAATCTTTTTTAAAAATGTTCTCCTTTTGTATAAATGAATCTATTATAATAATATTTTGCCTGTATATAGCTCAGACCTTTCTACAGAGGCTCAACTAGAGTTTTTAAAATATATAACTTAGAAGTGGGTTTATTCATATTTTGCGACAACAGAGGGAAGCAATTTTAAGAAAAAAACGCCAATAATTATTTCAATGGGTGGTAACTCTGAAAATAATGTGAATTTTTCAAAAATTCTAGTTGAGCCTCTGTAGAGAGGTCTGAGCTATGTACAGGCGAAATATGAATATAATAGAAGCATTTTTCACAAAGGGAGAACATTTTGAAAAAAGGTTATTTTAAGTTAATTTTTTGCCAAAATATTGTAATTAAATAATTTTTTTGTCAAAATGCCCTTAAAACATTTTTATGCATGTATTATAATGTGAGTGACACTAAATATCATGAAGATTATCCATTTATGCGCTTTTTTAAAGTCACGGTTCCGAACGTAGTCGGATATCTTAAACCTCTCATTTTAGCTTAGGAATTATATAAATTAGAGTTAATAAATTTAAATAGACTATAGCAAAAATGCATGGACATTTTTGCTAAAAGTTTGAACCTTGATCGCTTCTCTGGTGAAAAACGTTACGGTTGAAAATGTAATTTACAGTCAGAAAGAGAGTAATTTGAATAATTTTTTAAAATAAATCTTTCAATAATGTTGAGTAGAAGTGACCTTAGCGACGAAATGTTTCTGTAAGGCACTAAATAGGACACTAGAAACGTTGTGTCCCTGATGCAATTTATAAAATGTAGGATACTTATTTGATGAGACAACTTTAGAAGCTTCTAGTGAGTGAGAGTTAAATTAATGTTGCACATTTAACAAACACGAGGGCTTTTAGCGTGGGACCTCGTAATTTTGAACCATGGGCAAGTGACTAAGATGACATCTGAGCTTGCAACCCCCTATCGTAATTTCCAAACCACACCAACGGGCGGATGATTTAACGTGCATCGCCCCACCCCCTTAAACGGCTGTTTTTCAGTGGTACTAGGCTCGAGCTCAAGTCAATGTCTTTAACGAGAAAATTAAAAGTAAGAAATGGTCATAAAAATGTTCAAACTAGTTTTGAAGATCAGCCCCGCGGTTCAATATTTTTTCGATGTTCTTATAAAAAATACATCATTCATTCACGATTTCAAGAAAAATTAAATTCAAGATATCTACAATCACATCTTGATGTGGAATACTTTTAATCGTATACTTTGTACGCGTTATGTTGTTCTTAAAGCATTAAAAGTATTTTGTTAACAATGAAAGCATTAAAAGCAATTTACATACGTAAAAAAGAAACATAGCATTTCAAAGTATTTCGCAAATATTGTATCCCAAGTCCATGTCTTTCTGTAAGTAGTCTAAGTCAAATATTGGAAAGCTGCAGATCCACTGAGAAACTTTTCACAGATAAACTCGTTATTCTCATCAAAAACTCGAGCAGAGCAAAACTTTCCAAGAAAACTCCCAGAACATTTACTACATTGAACAGTTTTTAGAAAAAGATGTCTTTTGAACCGACAGTTTGTAAAAAAACCCTTTAGGCAGAAATGACATGTGAAAGAGCAAACTTTCGATTGATAATAGGAATGATGCAACACACAGTTGAGTCGAAGTTTGAAACCTCATTTCGCAGACTTCATAACGATGAGGAGAGCTCTCGTCGAAACACAATTTCTTTACCTTGAATCCACTTGCAAATTCTCTACTGCATTTTAGACACGTAAATTCTGTTTTATGGGAAGAGATCGAAATGAAGGATTTTGAATCCCATTTTGCATTAATAGCAACAATAGAATTCCTCTTCAGATGGGGTGACGTTGGCTTCCGCCATTTTACTCAGACGATACTAAATAGCTCACTGCTAAATTTACCTACTGTCAACGAATACAAATACCGAATTTCAAAATATGCGCAAATATAAAAAGTGACACACGTATAAACTGATGTTGCCAATCTTTGTTTCCAAAATATCATTCTTCCTTTCTTTTATGCATTTTTAGTGGTCACGTTGGCTCGAGGTGATGACCACGGACTCGTGGCTGATGTCTCATGCTTCCAAGAAAGTCGCCACTGAAAACCCGTTGTGCAGAGGGGTTGAAAATTGTTAAAATTTCGAATCACAAAGTCGTCCCATAGGCGTGATGTGGAAACTCGGAGAAGGGAGTGCTAATTTATGTGTCATCCTCGTCACTTGACCGAGGTTCAAAAATACGCGTTTCGTCGTTAATAACCCTCTAATTGCTTTAAAGTATGAAGCTAATAAACCCCTATTTCATAACCCCCTATATAATAACTCACCCTATTTCACTGAGATTAGGTGGCATATATATTATACAACGTCATAAATGGAGATTTATTTTTGCATTTGATATATATGACACTGTGGATCATTCATTATTTTGGATTCACGTTGGTCGAGTTGTGAAAGAGTTAAAGTGTTATATTTCCACCGCACTACGAAGCTGCATGAGGGCTATTGGCGGCAGACTCCATAATTTATAACCACGGTCAAGTGACGATGACGACCCCCTTTTCCTAACTACCACACCAACGGGAGGACAGATTTCACGGGCATCTCTCCCCTACATGGTGGGTCTTTAGCGGTACTGGGCTCGAACTCATGGCAAGCCTGCCATGATCCTATACCTTGACCACTGGGCTACCGCAGTCCACTCCCTAACTTCCACACGAACGTTAGAATATTTGAGCCTGGACATATTCAATGTGTATCGGTCCCTTCTTACGGTGGGGCTTCAGCTGTACTACGCTCGAACTCATGACATCAGAGCAACGATTCCGGGACCTACCGTAATCACGGTTAAAGACGTAAATTAGCATAAAACAAATTTTTGCACTTTGAGTTCTTAAATTTAAAAATTTGTCATAAAAATACAATCGGCTGCACGTTTTATTCAATTTCTACTATTGGTTCACACTTTCCCTATATATATATATATATCTTGTTCCAATTTTCAATCGCAAATAGAATACTTTTTATTCGTCCACTCAAGTTGAAATACATTTTTTAAAACTTGTAGTGGATGACACTTGATGCTAATAGAGATTTTTCAAACATGAATTCATTAATTCTATTTACTTAATGAATAAACAGTAACATACAAAAATTATAGTCCAAGACCCTATATAAAAAGGGAAATCGCTCATATTATCCCTGTAGTGCAATAGATAAGCACGTTGGACTTCTACTCCAAAGATGCGTGGGTTCGAATCCCACCTGGGATGGCCAAAGTTCCGAAAATGGGATTTCTTTTTACTACACTGTTTTTTTTAATAATTAAATTAAATTAATTAATAAATAGTAACAATAAATAAATAGTCCAACACCATACATAGAGAGAAAAAAAGGAAAATTGCTAGAAAAGTAGCTTTCTATTTTCTCAATATTGTGATTCTCTTATATGTATGTACTTGTTTATATTAATTGTTATTATTTAATAAAAAATTACTAAAATAAAAAAAAATTTCTTTATTGGCCTAAGTAGGAATTGACGTAATTTTTTTTATATCTTTCTTGTAGAAATAATTTTATCAAACTTAACACAAGATCAGTTATTATTATTATTATTTCGAGATATATAAAAATTGGAGTTTGTCTCTCTCTATCACATACACACACACACTAGTAGTTTTTAATTGATTCTATAATATATTTATTTAAATGAAGCAAAGAATCGTGTGATTTTTATTTTGTGTAGTCGTTAGTATGCAATTGTGGCACAAAAATCTAACAAATTTCGCAACTTGCCTTACGTTGAATTCGTTACTCAGTTCTTGAGTGAAGTTATGATACAGAGTGTTTTTTTTAAAACTGACAATGCTTAAATCTACTTGTAGCGCGATCAGACAACAGAAATGCACGAAACGTTGTATAAAGACTAATGATGACATAAGAGTAGGATTCCGTGGGGGGGGGGGAAATTAGTTCCAAAAATCACCTATGTATGGGTATTTATACAGGGTGTATCTAATCTCTGCGGCAAAACTTTAAGGGGTGATAGTACACATCAAGACAAACAATAGTAAATAGGAAACTTAGGGTCTCACAAACGTCTTCCGAAGGAGATAGGTGCCATTAAAGCTTAGGATCCGAAATTTCAAATGATTATAAAAAAACGCAAAATTGGGTCGATTCGTAAGCGGTTTTCACTAAAATTATTCTTTTTATCAGTATTTTCTTTAAATATAAATTTCGAAGATAAAGCTAAAAAAAGTCGATAGAGGGCGTTTTAGACTTTCGAGTAACGAACAACTATTTTTTAGTATTATATTTTGTATCACATTAAATGCTTTCAAAAGCTTAGACTTAAACTTAAATTTTGAGCTCAAAATTTGAATCGTCGAGGGTGGGATGTAGCACAAACTCAACTGTGTTCAGGAGGTGAAATTTTAACTCACCTTCTTCCCTGGACACGGTTCAGTTATTCAATCTTCGATGCTCAGTCGTAGACTAGGCAGCAACTACTACCCACTAAACATAAAATAAACGAGAGAAGGATGACAAAGTTTAATAAAAAAGTTATTCATAACAGACATGAGCAATTTCTCCCCGCAAAATACCCGATTTGCATGCAAAGTGTAGTACATAAGGATTTAACCGTATGGAGCTAATTGTATGTAAGGATGTAAAGTTCTACTGCAAAGTGTTCCTGCCAACATAAAGGTTCATATGTGGTTCCAACATGACGGAGTGCCTGCACATTTCAGCGCAGATTTGCAAAGTACATTGGATACAGCATATCCAGGGCGATGGATTGGGTGAGGTGGTCCGGTAAATTGGCTGGCACGCTCGCCTGACCTCTCCTGCCTAGAATTCTTCGTCTGGGATCATACGAAGAGTCTTGTTGAAACAAGCCCCGTCGACTCCAAAGAGGCCCTAGGTGCGAGAATTGCCGTCGTAGCAAACGATATCCGGGAGATGCCCTGGGTATTTGCTAATGTTCGAGAGTCCCTCCGCCGGCAATTTGAGGCCTGCATCTTTGCTGGTGGGCGCTCTTTCAAGCAGTTTTTGTGATTCCGCAAGAAAATCATGCGTGTACCATTTTCTACGTA